CCCACCCCTTATTGCCCCCTACCCAATAAGGGAGTGGGGCAGCTGGCCAACCTCTGCAGCCCTCCCCCCCGGCCGGCCCCACCCTAATGGCCCCCACCCCGATCGGCCCACGGCCCTCCCCCCACTCCAATCAGGGCCAGCAGCCAACCACCCATGGCCCCTCCCCCAGGCTGCTGGCCCTTGATCGACCTCCTAACCCCATTTGGGGAAAGGGCCAGCCAGTCCACCACCCACAGCCTCTCCCCATGGCTGGCCCCACCCCCAATCGGCCCCCCACCCTAACTAGGGGCAGGGCCCACTGGCCAATCACCTGCGGCCCCTCCCCCCAGCCAGCCCGGCCCTGATCAGGCCCTGATTGGGGCCAGGCCAGCCAGACCCCCCACCCGTGCATGAATTCGTCCACTGGGCCTCTAGTATAAAAATAAGAGTCAATCTAATTCACAACAGTGGGAAAGGTGGATTAAATTACCTTAATCTTACAAAAATATGTAGATATTGCAAGTTTTGCCAGCTAAACTAGCTAAGCTAAATGAGTAATATTAAACCCAAATAAATCACACCAGGGCTTTAATGTATATGGACTGACATTTTCCATTTGCTTATTTGGAGATACTTTATGAAAATGAAAGCATCCCACATCCATGTCATGTTTTTAATTGTTCTAGTTGATTTATATCTTCATTTAGTCCCAACACTAATCTCAAAAGGCACTGACTGCATCAATTTCCCATCACCACCCTGCCCACCAATTTACCCTTGCCTTGTAAGAAAGCTGTGGTTTCTCCAACATGCCAGGCACACTCCCGCTTGAGTGCCTGAACACTACTCATTCCTTCTGCCTATGGCATTCTTTCTCGTGATCTTTATAGCTCACGCTCACCTACATCAGGATTGTGCTTAAATGTTATCTAAGTAATCCCATAATCGGCCTCCTCTCTCTAACTAATCATCTAACAAGACAATAAATGAATGTGTGTGCACATACACACATATGTATAAATAAAATATGCTACTAAAAAGTTACCTCCACAGAATCAAGGACTATGCTTCATTACTGCTGAAAACCCACTACAAGTAATGCTGAAATATTTGGTGACTGAATACACTAAAAAGGGTTGTCATTAGACAAAAAAGAGAAGTCCCAAATTCACCCACTTTCGGTATTTTTTATATATAACTACACAATGCCTGAACAACTCCCATATCCCTATCATCCCACCCTCACGATGAAGCTGTCATCTTGTAGCTTATGAGTAAAACTGGGGTCAAGAGTAGGAACCCTTACAAAGTAAAACCTCAAGTTAAAAAATAAAAATGGAATGTGGGGGGGTAGGGGGGACTTGTTGCCGGAATGTCAAGCACATTAGACCTGAGCCTGGCTATACAAAGAATATACCCTCAGGAGTTTTTAATCAGCTGGAACTATTCTTTAGCAGTTAGATCGAGTTATTATTCATTCACATTACCCAACATGAACAAATATAACTAAAGGTTTTCTAGGCAAAGTCTTTAATCAAATGTTAGCCAAATCTGCCAGGACAGAGCTTCAGTGACTCACCAAAACATCTGTCAGGTAGTCCACACTGTAGTTCTCACCATGCTTCCGTGCCTTGCCGTTGATGGAGAGAGTGTAATTATAGTACTTAGAATTCTTCTCCTATTAAAGCGAGGAAAGTAAAATTTATTATGACGTCAGCACACACAATGAAAGCTGAAACCATGCTAGGCTAACCTATACTATTTAAATGGTGATAAGACATTTTAAAAAGGTAATTATACAAGTCGTATTGAATTAGATTTTTTTTTTAAATATATTTTATTGAATTTTTACAGAGAGGAAGGGAGAGAGATAGATAGTTAGAAACATCGATGGGAGAGAAACATCGACCAGCTGCCTCCTGCACATCTCCCACGGGGGATGTGCCCACAACCCAGGTACATGCCCTTGACCGG